TGTCAATTTACATTCTTCGTTGAATGACTTGCATACTTGACAGGATGTCTCTGCGAAGTCTACCTCCTCTGCAGCATTTGCAGTTTGCTCATCTGGCAAGTTTGCATCGGACACTGAACCGTCACTTTCATTGCTGCTCTCTCCGATGTCTCTGCTGCACCACTTTGATGATATTGTTTGTGATATGGGCACTTTTCTTGTAAATGATCTACTGATCGGCAGCTACGGCATTCCCGACGTACGTTGTATTGGGTTCTCTTTTCCGCTTTCCTCTTGTACCATCTTTGCAGGTGTTCTTTGAACCCTGGGTTTTTCTCACACCATTGTTTTTTTCCATGCTCTGTTTTGCAATATGGGCATGTAATTACTGGACCCGTATCTCTGTAGGGTCTATGACTCCTATAACCCTTGTAAGAGTTCCTCTGTGGTTCGTACTGGTACAGTCTGTTTCTCATCTGAGGTTGCACAGCCGCCCCATAGTTTATATCTGGGCCTTTACCAAAACTGAAAACATTTTTGTGAGCATTAAAATATGCCTTTCCTGATGTTTCCATCTCTTTGACAGTGGATGGTCTTTGTTCGATCAGAAATGTCATCATGTTGGTTGGTACACTGCACAATACTTTGTCTCTAATTAACAGATCTTTTAATAGCTCAAATGACTTTCCAATTTTGGCTGAATTTATCCACTTATCAAAAGTGGTTTCAACTTCGGATAAATAATCAATGAAGGTCTGCTCAGATTTTGGTGTTAGGTTTTTGAATGCATTTCTATAAGACTCTTCGTCCAAAGAAAAATGTTGTAATATTCTGTCTTTAACAAAGTCATAGTCATCTAGTTTTTCCACAGGGATGGTTTCTAGAACTTTCAATGGTTCACCCCCTAGATGCTTTCTGTACATGAGTGACCATTCAGAACGAGGGACTTCATAATGTTTAAGCATGTACTCAAAATTTTGCGTCCAGGCAGAGATTGAATCACCTTGGGTAAAAAATTTAATGAGACCTTGATATTTCTTAAAAGATGGTTCTGCTGCTTTCATTTCAGCCTTTCTAATCTGTATTTCGACATTTCTGTCGGCTTCCATTTCTTTGGCCCTGAGTTCCATTGTCAGCTTTTCTTTCTGCAGCTCAGCATTTATAATTATTTCTTTTTCCTTGATTAGTAATTGGACTCTGTCCCGCTCGGCTAGTGCTGCTAATTCTTGCGTTTTCAGATTTGCTTGAGTTTCTAATTCTTTCGTTTTCAAATTCGCTTGAGTCTCTAATTCTTTTTGTTTGGTCATGGCTTCGATCTCTTTCTGTTTAGCCTCTAATTCAAGTTTTCTTGCTTGTCTTTCTTCTGCACGATCTTGCCGTTCTTGTAGATCAGCATATTTCTTATCGGCCCATTCCAGTGCTTTCTCACCTGTCAACCCATTCTGTTTTGCTAGCTCAATGAAATCAGAAAGGGTAGACATCTTGCAATGTTTTAATATTACTACAAAACAGTGTACTTGCTTTCAAAAAGATAAATAACACGCGCACTAACAGTAAAATCACAAAAGAAATTACAATGGCAAGAATGTAAAATAATACACAATAATACGATTTAAATTTCCAAAAGTTATCCTGGCAGTTTGGATAAACAATTTGGATTGTAATGACAGTAGGGAAGGATTCCGAAATCTACTTCTTAACAATTGTATACAGATGAATTGATGATGGATGCACTCAAAAAAAATATATTTATATACACACAATAATGATGAAAGAGGATAGACTAGAATGATAGACAATGTACGGCACCGCTGTTCCAAAAACGACCCTGTGGAACACCACGGGCAAGAGAACAAGACCACAGCACAACACCACAATCAAAACAAAACTTATCTTTTCTCCAGCCTGGGATCCGACATGCCCCTTGAAACAGGATGATGAACTGGATTCACAACAGGATTGACAAACAGGATGATGCCGAGGACGAAGGGCCTCAGTTGGAGCTTGTGCGTTCTTCAATCATTCAACACACGCAATTATACCACAATACTTGCATACACTGTCCTTGTCCGTTATCCTACTCGTCGAGACGCCACATGTTCCTAACACAATCAGAATAAACGATCACGAAGAAACGACTATAAACGCAACAAACCACGCAACAGCTAATAATGTAGATAAATTGTCAGTATCTAATAATCTGTCGCTATCCCAGATACAAATCCTAAGGACGAAAGCTCCCCATTTATCTGTCAGGGACCTAAACTACTCTACTTGTTTAAATGGCTCGCTAGGAAGGCCAGCTGACAGACTCTACTACCCAAACACACTTAAGGCGACACTCCGGCTGAGTACAACCATTATCTTTAATATACAATGAACATTAGACGTACAAACACTTCAACTGGGCTAAGCAGCTCCCATCCGAAACTGCCTTGGCGATGACAGCTTTACAATCACTAATCACCCCAGGCCAGCTCCCATGGATCCAGGGGAGCACGACTCTTAGCTAACAGTGTCTCAGTGCCAATCAATCCGCCGTCGATTGCCAAAACGGGACTTCAGCGATACACGAGAAGTGTATGGCCTAAGCGCGCCCGGGCAGTGTAATCGCCATTACCAGGCGCGTCACCTATGATTAACTACTTAAACAAATACTACCTGTAATATCTAATACACAAAGAACTTAACTCTCTTTACCATCTAACCGACAACAATAAATACAAATACGGCCTATCACAGACACTAAATACGAATATCCTATTTGTACCTAACCGTCACTAACCTAACCGTTACCTCGTCGTTAAACTGTTGTCCTGTCTCTTTCTGTCGATAAGCACACAACCGTCGTCAACAACTGTCCGCTCACAAGTCCCCCAAAATCCGCTTGGACCCAGCCTTTTGTATTTCCTCCCGAGTTCATAGCAAACTCCGTAGCACTCCGTGTCGGCTGAGTGAACTCGACCTGGCCTCTAAACTGGGCACGGCTTATTGCGTGAACGAGCTGTACGTTCACACACTGAGTTTGCGCTGGAGGTCAACTGGTACCAGCGTGATGATTCACGATTCTTACTTTATGATTCCAAACTGGCCTCTGACACTGTTACATGGTTATCTGGTACATGGTTATCTGGTACGTGGTTATCTGGTTTCTTCTGCTAGGACCCTTCAAATGAGCCAGGAGACAACACCCAGCTCTGTGTCTTCATACAACACCATTGATTTACTAGTCTGTTTTGCGGTTTATGGTCACATTTATGATTCTATAGCCAGGATGCAATAAACAGTTGTATAAACATCCACAGTGTGTTCCCTCTCCTATCACAGCAAACTTTTCTGGGAGTGAAGACCTTATCCTATCATCTATGACAATTTATCCTGAGCTGTTGCAGTTTTGTTAATCTTCTGAATGTGTCACCAATGACACTGGCAGACAACTGTTAATCTTCTGAATGTGTCATCACTTACACTGGCTGACAACTGTTAATCTTCTGAATGTGTTACCACTAACACTGGCAGGCAACTGTTAATCTTCTGAATGTGTCACCACTAACACTGGCAGACAACTGTTAATCTTCTGAATGTGTCACCACTTACACTGGCAGGCAACTGTTAATCTTCTGAATGTGTCACCACTAACACTGGCAGGCAACTGTTAATCTTCTGAATGTGTTACCAATGACAATCACTGGCAGATAACTGTTTCAGATAATTTCTTAACATTTCTAGCAAACCATAAACTACCACTGATAGAAAACACACACGCACAGAGAGAGAGAGAGAGAGAGAGAGAGAGAGAGAGAGAGAGAGAGAGAGAGAGAGAGAGAGAGAGAGAGAGAGAGAGAGAGAGGAAGAGAGAGAGAGAGAGAGAGAGAAAGAGAGAGAGAGATAGAGAGTCAGGTCTGCCCCATGCACTTTACTGTCCAAAGGTCCCTATTCTGTCCTGCTCATCTTTATGCTGGTCAGGCACTGAACCTCTCTCCTAGTACCATGCCCTCAGCTACTGTTCTTTCCAATCTATTCAATTTCTTTGATATGGCCAAAATATGTCAATTTCCAAGACAAGACGTTGGTTTTTTTGTTTTTTTTAGTATATGGTATTTTAAGAATCTATTTTTTAGTATATGGTATTTTAAGAATCTATTTTTTAGTATATGGTATTTTAAGAATCTATTTTTAAGTATATGGTATTTTAAGAATCTATTTTTTAGTATATGGTATTTTAAGAATCTATTTTTTAGTATATGGTATTTTTAGAATCTATTTTTTAGTATATGGTATTTTAAGAATCTATTTTTTAGTATATGGTATTTTAAGAATCTATTTTTCAGTATATGGTATTTTAAGAATCTATTTTTTAGTATATGGTATTTTAAGAGAATCTATTTTTTAGTATATGGTATTTTAAGAATCTATTTTTTTAGTATTTCAGCTCAAAAGCTCCTAGTGAATTTCTTAATGATTGTGAGATAGTCCAGGACTTACATCCGTATGCTGCAACAGGACTTACATCCGTATGCTGCAACAGGACTTACATCCGTATGCTGCAACAGGACTTACATCCGTATGCTGCAACAGGACTTACATCCGTATGCTGCAACAGGACTTACATCCGTATGCTGCAACAGGACTTACATCCGTATGCTGCAACAGGACTTACATCCGTATGCTGCAACAGGACTTACATCCGTATGCTGCAACAGGACTTACATCCGTATGCTGCAACAGGACTTACATCCGTATGCTGCAACAGGACTTATATCCGTACGCTGCAACAGGAAAGGTGCATGCTCTCAAAATGCTCACCTTGATTGTCCTGCTTTTACTGCAGATTAAACTTTGCATTGCTACGGCCATCCTCCTCCTCCTAACTTCGGTTAAACAGTCTCCAATGCTGTTTATTATGCAGCCCAGATATCAAAGTCTGTGCTGTTTTCCATTTCTTGATCATGTATTGTTACTTTGGCTGACAACTTCTAACATGCAAGAACTGAACAAAACCAACATGAGAGAATATTTACATGGTCTCCATGCAGGTGAGTGATAAAGATCTTGTGGATCTTGCCAGGCTTGAGGGCACTCTTCATCAGCTGCACCTGGGAACCTTCTCCACAGTCAAACAGCCAGACACCAGTATCTAGATCCAGGCAAGATCACAAGGGAAGCAAGAAGGGGGATCAGTAAACACACACAGGGACAATGTTACCAGTAAACACACAGGGACAATTTTATCAGTGAACATGGGACAATGTTATCAGTGAACACACACAGTTGGACAATGTTATCAGTGAACACACACAGTTGGACAATGTTATCAGTGAACACTGCACAATGTTATCAGTGAACACTTGACAATGTTATCAGTGAACACTGGACAATGTTATCAGTGAACATGGGACAATGTTATCAGTAAACACACAGTTGGACAATGTGATCAGTGAACACTGGACAATGTTATCAGTGAACACACTGTTGGACAATGTTATCAGTGAACACTGGACAATGTTATCAGTGAACACTGAACAATGTTATCAGTGAACACACTGTTGGACAATGTTATCAGTAAACACACACAGGGACAATGTTATCAGTAAACACACACAGTTGGACAATGTTATCAGTGAAAACATACAGTTGGACAATGTTATCAGTAAACACACACAGTTGGACAATGTTATAAGTAAACACACACAGGGACAATGTTATCAGTAAACACACACAGTTGGACGATGTTATCAGTGAACACACACAGTCGGACAATGTTTTCAGTGAACATTGGACAATGTTATCAGTGAACTCTGGACAATGTTATCAGTGAACACTGGACAACGTTATCAGTGAACACACAGTTGGACAATGTTATCAGTGAACACTGGACAACGTTATCAGTGAACACACAGTTGGACAATGTTATCAGTGAACACTGGACAATGTTATCAGTGAACACTAGACAATGTTATCAGTGAACACACAGTTGGACAATGTTATCAGTGAACCTGGACAATGTTATCAGTGAACACACAGTTGAATTATGTTATCAGTAAACACATACAGTTGGACAATGTTTTCAGTAAACACACACAGTTGGACAATGTGATCAGTGAACACACACAGGGACAATGTGATCAGTGAACACACACATTTCGACAATGTCATCAGTGAACACACACAGGGACAATGTCATTAGTGAACACACACAGGGACAATGTTATCAGTGAACACACAAAGTTGGACAATGTCATCAGTGAACACACACAGTTGGACAATGTCATCAGTGAACACACACACAGACAATGTCATCAGTGAACACACACAGGGACAATGTTATCAGTGAACACACACAGTGACAATGTCATCAGTGAACACACACAGTGACAATGTCATCAGTGAACACACACAGTTGGACAATGTCATCAGTGAACACACACACGGACAATGTCATCAGTGAACACACACAGGGACAATGTTATCAGTGAACACACACAGTGACAATGTCATCAGTGAACACACACAGGGACAATGTCATCAGTGAACACACATAGGGAAAATGTTATCAGTGAACACAAACAGGGACAACGCCATCAGCAAATGTCTGAGAGCTGTACAAGACACAAACCTCCCATGTCTGAGAGCTGTACAAGACACAAACCTCCCATGTCTGAGAGCTGTACAAGACACAAACCTACCATGTCTGAGAGCTGTACAAGACACAAACCTCCCATGTCTGAGAGCTGTACAAGACACAAACCTACCATGTCTGAGAGCAGTACAACAAACCTACCATGTCTGAGAGCTGTACAAAACACAAACCTCCTATGTCTGAGAGCTGTATAAGACACAAACCTACCATGTCTGAGAGCTGTACAAGACACAAACCTTCCATGTCTGAGAGCTCTACAAGTCACAAACCTACTAAGTCTGAGAGCTGTACACGACACACACCTACCATGTTTGAGAGCTGTACAAGACATAAACCTACCATGTCTGAGAGCTGTACAAGACACAAACCTACCATATCTGAGAGCTGTACAAGACACAAACCTACCATGTCTGAGAGCTGTACAAGACACAAACCTACCATGTCTGAGAGCTGTACAAGACACAAACCTACCATGTCTGAGTGCTGTACAAGACACACATCTGACAGGAGAAGGAACAGCAGAGGCTGTGCCCAGAAATGTCAGCTCCAGGATGTCCATCAGAGTGGCTGGTCTAATGCTGCCTGTGATCCAATGTCTTTCACTGGCTCATGAAACTATACCACAAAAACATGACATATTGGTAATTTTTCAAACACTGTTAGCTTAATTTGGAACATTTAACAAGGCCAACTCATGACAAGTGTGAACACCCCTAACTCAAACTTAACAAAAATGTTTGTGTGAACACAGCCAACTTACGAATTACAGACTCTATATAACCTAGAGTAAAACTAGCTTAGAGTTAAAATGAGTTTTAGAGTTAAAACCAAAGAAAATTGGGGCTCTCCTTGACCCTTTGGACGCTAGCTGGACAGCTTAGGTCACGAATCAAATGACATACTTACCTATCATCATCCGGGTGTGTGTAGGGTTGCGTATAGTTGTGTGTAGGGTTGCGTAGTCATCATACGGTTGCGTCTAGGGTTACATATCATCATACGGTTGCGTGTAGGGCTGCATAGGGTGTCTATCACCATCATACCGTTGCGTGTAGGGTTGCGTAGGGTGTGGGTTGGGGTTAGGGATAGGGTTAGGGGTAGGGTTAAGGGTTAGGGTTAGAGGTTAGGGTTAGGAGTAGGGTTAGGGGTAGGGTTAGATGTGAAAATGGTGACATAGAACGTCCAAATACTGGGCGACAATCTGATGCTTGTGGGAGTGGCGCCACTGGAAGTGTGCCAAATATGACGGCAATAGCGCGCGGCTGGTGCCCAATCAGTGGCGAATTGTCCGTGTCAGTAGCATTCCCCGTCCGTCGACTGTTTGGGTGTGTATGTGACTGTGCGCGAGTATACGGAACTATGGCGTCAAAAATGTCACATCTAACGCTAAACCTAACCCTACCCCTAACCGTAACTCTACCCCTAACCCTAACCCTAATGCTACCCCTAATCCTAACCCCAACCCTACCCCTAATTCTACCGCTAACCCTACCCTTAACCACGCATAGTTATCGGTCATTAAAGCATACAGATCGGCAAAACATCAACAACAACAAACCAGATGTCCCCACAGCGTCAAAAGAAAAACCCAGACCTGGGGGACACAACCAAGCATTGGCAGCCCTGATGTCGACCTCACTGTCTTGTTTGATTCGTGACTTTGTCCGCTACTTGTTGTCAATGCGGCCAAGGGAGAGAACTCCCACTAAGCCGACCTAAGCCGTCCAGCTAGCGTCCAAAGGTGCAAGGAGAGCCGAAAATGAAATTATGGTCATCATCAAGAAGAAAGAAATACCAAACAGTGAAATTGATGCAAATGGCAAAATCTCCCAAGTCAATATTTTTTTCCTCTACACCAACCTCCCCACAGACATTTTGACATATTAACCTCTTTCACACAAACCTATTCTGAAGTATTCACATACAAACCACTACACAAAAAACCCTCACACAAATCTTTTCACATACAAGCCTCAACACATAAACTAAACCTCCCATACAAACCTGACTAGACATTAACCCATCCCCCGATACAAACCTCCATGCTTAAACCCACACAAACCTACCCACACAAAAACCTCCTTACACATACCTCCCACACACAAACCTCCTCACACTGTCATTCGCGCTGATATAAAGTTGTTGTAATGCACACTTCCGGTCTGACCCCCAGCAGCCGACTCGAGTTGCCGGCGATACCAGTATCGATGTCGTAATTATCAACATCGTCACATTCCTTAGCTATCACAGGAGGCAGGGAAGCTTTCTCGTTTTTCATTATCAACGGTGCAAACTCGATAACTAGGCACGATAGAATGTTTAGCTTTTAATTTATTTTTGCTTCCCACAGCGCTTTGATAATGCAGTTTCCACACATGGACGGAAGTCCATGGTTTCGCTGCCTTAGTGCTTGGTGCAGCCCTGTGAGCTGTTCTTCTTGGGGAATTCTTTCCATTGTGCAGCAGTAGAGTGGCAGCATTGAATATGACCAGTGTTGCCACTTTGGATGTTTTACATCCAGATTTAGATGTTTTGTTTTGCATTTAGGGGGCGGCTGGCACGTTATGTTGTGGTTTATGGCTAGGCTGTGAAATCTACGCCTTTTTCGGTTTTGGGGTTTACAGCTAGCCTGCGACAGCGGCGACGTGATGCTCAATGGTCATGTCATGGGTAATCTTCGTTCGCCCTCTAGAGGGCCATTGGTACGTTGTATTGTGGTTTACAGCTAGGCTGCGATATCTGACATAAAACTCTTCAGTCGTTGGTAGTATAGTTGTAAGTATGTCATCCTTCACCCGGGTAACCGTTGTTCGATTCCCCGCTGGGTGATAATTGTTCTTTTTCCCTTAAAAGGGTGGTTGCCACGTTGTGTTGTGGTTTATAGTTAGGCTGCGATATCTGCGCCTTTTGTCCAAAGACACCTGATTTCAGTTAGGTCCTAATTAGCCTCTCCGCGACGCTTCTCGATCAAAAACTATTCGGCGATGACAGAAACTGTTAACTAAGACGGCTTACATTCTAATTTAGTTTGGGTGGACACGGATGCCAAGGTCAGTTTAAAAATCGTTGCTTCGGAGAGGGAGAGATGACGGGTGCAGGGTATTTTTCTCTGCTATTCGTGATTATAGTGTACTTTTCACTGTGGGTTCCATCACTGGTTACGTGATGAAGTTGATTTTTTTTTTCCTATTTCGGGACCAAATTTAAACTAAATAGTCCGTGGCGACAGCATGCGACGCTAACTCCTCTTTTCTACACTGACCTACGCAGACTGTAGGGACAGTTTTTGTTGTTGTTGTTGTTGTGATGGTGGTGGTGGTAGTGGTTGCAGTAGTACTGGTACTGGATGGGTGATGTGGTAGCTGTTACACTGGCTACATTTACTTCTCTGTACAAGTTAATGCTACCTATTTAAGTCTGGGTGGACACGGATGCCAAGCTCAATTTAGTTACACTATTTCGTTACACCGTGACTTTTCTATCCTTCGGAGAGAATGACATGATTAGGGGAGGGGGGTGTGTTATGCCAGACACAGTTAGCTAGGAGAGCTTAAAATGTTATTTTAAAGTTCTCATTTCTTGACTATTTCTATTTTAATAATTTTGCAATAGATGATTTTTCAGTCCTTCGGAGATGGAGATATGACTTCACCAGGTGATGATTTTTCAATTCTTCGGAGAGGGAGATATAATTGGTGGAGGGGTGGGGGTTGAGAGTTAGGAAAAGGGGGGGGGGTATATGCCAAACACAGTTAGCTGAGAGAGCTTAAAATATTATTTTTAAGTTCTCATTTCTTAACTATCTCTATTTTAATAATTTCGCCAGGTGATGATTTTTTAATCTTTGGAGAGCGAGATACGATTGGTGGAAGAGGGGGGGGGGGATATGACAGACACATTTAGCTGAGAGATATTAAAATATTATTTTAAAGTTCTTATTTCTTAACTATATCTATTTTAATAATTTCGCCATGGATGATTTTTTCAATCCTTCGGTGAGGAAGATATGATTTTGCCAGGTTATGATTTTTCAATTATTCGGAGAGGGAGATGTGATTGGGGGAGCGGGGGGCGGAATTATGCCAGACACAGTTAGCTGAGAGAGCTTAAAATATTATTTTAATGTTCTCATTTATTACCTATTTCTATTTTAATAATTTCGCCAGGTGATGATTTTTCAATCCTTCGGAGAGGGAGACATGACTATGTCGAAGGGAGTGGGGATATGACAGACACTGTTAGCTAAGAGCTATTTTCTTTCCTCTCTATTTCACCATTATGGTTCACAGCAACGCGTGGCCGGGCTCAGCTAGTACTAGTATATTATATAATATAATAGTAGGAATAAAAGACATACAAATGGTAATGATACATAAATTATAGTGATGCGAGACAGAATTAAAATAATTACATACATAAAAAAAATTAAATACGTGTTAATAATAAAACTAAGGGTATGTTGGATATTGATGCCACTTGGACTAAGAACACATAGTTTGTTCTCACGATCGACGTCACCACACATTGGTGACATGCGTTGGACAGGTTCATGGAAAAGGTATTCAGGTATCGATTAGTTAGTTAGTTAGTTAGTTAGTTAGTTAGCTGGGTTATCCTCATTGCACTCCGGACATGTCCATAGGTGCTCAGATCCTCCCCTCAGTATGAACCCCAACGTCCGATGGCTAATAGTACCAGTTCTATGTTGATTAACAAGTCTTCTGGCGTAGCTGGTGTGCGTCTCGTTTTTTGCTGTGCCGATCTTAATTCCCAAGTCTGCCATTCTGGCGAGTGATGTGGATTCACTGCCACCAAAGTCCTATATCCTTCCCATTTCTCTGAGGACATTGATAATATCAGCATGATCCATAGGCTGACCGTCGGTAGTAATAGCGGATCCAGCCAACCTGTCAGCTCTTTAATTTCCATCGACGCCTGCGTGTCCCGGAACAAAGGTATCGATTACAACCATGAAAGAACCACATAAATGTCGTAAATTAAGTGAGCAAGTTGGTAGCCCAAGAGTTGATGTATGTAATTACAGGGGACCTTGGTGTATATAATTGGGGTTAATAACTGTTTTATAGCAATTTCAGTTGTGGAATAAAGAAATTACAGAAGAAAGTCTGGGCATGTAAACAAGTGGCTCGGATGTCGCGCAAAGATGGAGTCTGGTTGTTTGTCAAGTTTCTTCAACAGCTGATGTCAAAACTTCAGACCACAGAAACTTCTCCAGCTACTGGCAGTGGTCAGTATTTACCCGCTGGCAGAAAATTCGCCATGCAACACCAGGTGAAGCTTGTAAACATGATATTTCTACATAAGAGACAGTGAACTAACAGGTGTTTGATTTCATTTCCTGTTTTGAACTTTTAACTTTGCTTCCTGAAGTTCTCGTAGTTTAGATGGGAATGCAAACTTTAGGCTCTGGCTTGTAATGTATATGATTTCGAACACTTCCGACAGTCTCTGTTTGTTTCACTTTTTTTCTTCTGACACGTATATTTTCACATTATAAAAACGCGAAGTTATTAATTGTTGCAAATCACAGTAGTAGTG